GTTTCATTTTATTCGAAGAGCCAGCGCTCCGCTAAGGTGGCAGCACGTCTTGTCAGACTAATTCACATTTTAACCTAGAAGCAGATGTTCCCATTTACAACTTGAAAGCTGAGGGTCTTTAATATTTTTTTTGAAGTAAAGTTAGTGTGTTTGTTGAGGAGTGATACCAGAAGAGGTGCACATTAAAGCTACTATGAGGAACTTTAGTTTTGTGTTGATTTTGGTCGTCCCTGTAGATATAAGTGGTGGAGCACCAGAGTCCCCTTAGAAAACCCTTCATTTTACTGCAGCAGTGTCAGACAGTCTGCCCCCGCGCAGTCCATGGTTCTGGTTCTTCAGTGCCTCTGTTCCCTTCAGCGGACCCACGCATTACGGCCTGGGCCTATAGTAGCGCAGTGTCGGTGTCGGGACCCAGCGTGGACTGGCAGAGCAGCAGTGCGGAGCTCTACTCGTGGCATGAGGAGGAGCCGCTGCTGCCGAACACAGAGCTCTCCACCTCCCACCGGAGCTCCGACTTCAGACTGTGGGTCCGGGTTGGAGGCCCCGCTGAAGTCTGAGCTGAAGAACTTTCTTGTGAACCTGCATGATTTCATGATACCAGCTGATTTTGCGCACTATCCGACCCGGTGGCACCGACTACAAGCATTACGATATATAGAAAGAGACAATCTTCTTGCTGATGGTCTCGTTTACTCATGTAGATCCTCAGTATTAGATTGAGACTGTTTCATAACCAGTTAAAAGTTATTACAGTTGGAAAAATAGTTCTCTTGTGTCTCTTGTGATGGATTTTGTACTGCCAGGCATAACAGGAATAATACAACTAGATTGTTGAGATTCAGGTGGGAGCTTTTTCTTTTAAAAAGAAAGGCCTCTTTCATGCAGCTTGACCCTCCTGCCCCAGGCTCAGTGAAGAGAGAGACAGCAGCCTGCCCCTAGCATTAGCCGATGCCCTCGGCGGCGAGCTCAGCGACCTCCTTCCTCCCGACGTGGAGTGGCAAACCCAGCGGTTGGCTGATCAGGCCCTCCAGCAGCTTCTAGGAGGTCATCCCAGCCTGTTGGCCTGGGGGAAGAGAACAGAGGGAATAAAAAAGAAGACAAGCAGCTATCCAGCCTGACACCCTCCCATCGAACTCTGTGTGGTACAAAAATACAACACTTTCTTCACTCACAAAAAACGGAGCGTCTGAACATAATCCAGGAGCAAATTACGTTACTTACCACAATGTTCGTAGCATATAAATGTCATTTTTATGACTCAGGGTTTTTCAGGGAATCGAACCGAAGACAATACAGTCACAAGTGTGCTTCTCTCCTGTCTGTCATTTTCTTATTGTCAACCTTTTTTACTCCTTCACCGCTCTTTTTTCTTTCTCCTTTTCTCCTTTTGCTGTCTGTCTTTCTTTCTCTCACACACACACACACACACACACACACCCACACACACACACATACTGCTTCTCTGGGGTGTTATCTTTTATGTCCAAATACAAGCGTTGACTCTGTACTGCTCACTCAGCTTCAGCTTATTGTTAATTATACGCTGTATGCTATAATTTCCTTACTTTTAATTGAGATAAATCTTAATGTTAAACAATAATGCACTTCCAATTTTGTGGCAACAGTTTGTGGAAAGCCCTTTGTTTAAAAAAGAAATGGTTCTCCAAGTTTGGTGTGGAGGAGCTTGCCTGCACAAAACCCTGACCTCTACCCCAACACCTTTGGGATGAATTGGAACTTATCGCCCAACATCAGAGCCTGACCTCACTCTTGTGGAAGAGTGGGGGCAAATCCCTGCAGCAAGGTGTCAAACTCTTGTGGAAAGCCTGAAACCAGATTAATGGAGGCTATTATAGCAGTAGATGAATGGTTTTAAAATGATCCCAAGTACTCTTAGTCACGTCGTAGAGCTGTCAGATCTCAAGAAGTGTAAATGCAGCCAAGACATATTGAAATCAAATTGATCAAATCACCTTGGGAGGTGGTTTTGAGGTGATTTGAGACTCATTCGAGCCAGATGTTGAAAAGATCGAAATGCATCCGTCTCGCCAAGACACATACGTAAGCTAGAGTTCTCTTAAGTGTAACTACGTCAGGAAGTAGTGGTTGGAAGGAGCACTGGTGAGAGAGCATTGATCTGTATGGGCCAGGGAGCGGTGTAAGTTAGAGCCTATATGAAGACGATAAAACTTTTGTCTTGCTTATAGTCAATACTTAGAGTCTTTAATGTGTTAGTTTATGGATAATTGATCACTTGTTAGCTTTTATTGCTAACTGTTAAATGTTGTCACTATGCTGCTAAAGTGCCCAAGTTGTTCTCTGGCAGCTAGCGAACAGCTCCAGGTACATTACCACCACCCGCCGGACTGGTGGAAGGATGATTTGCATGTAGCCCGGGAAACTAAAGATGGATTGCAATTATATTTGTGATCTGGCCAACGGAGACACATATGTGGCTTAGGGTATTAAATCGCCTCTAGATTTTATCCGGATACGAGACAAATGACAAGCGTGTGTTTCCTCATATTGCATCACCACTGATCTCGGTACAGTCATGCAGTGGAGCCTAGGGCTGTTCTCCTCAGTGTAGCGTCTGGGGAGAATCAGCCTCTTTAGTGTGTGTATAAAAAGAGTAGATATGTGTGTGTGTCTGAAAGCATGTGTGTATTAGTGTTGTAAACACCTTCTCTGGGAAGGAAATAAGTTGTTTTCCTTTCATGCATTCTTCTGTTATATGCTGCTGTTTGTTTATCTAGATCTTCTTTGAGATAAACTCCCTTTTAATACCCGTCTCCTTCAACAACATGTTCAGTATATTAAGTGTGTGCCGAGCGCTGCAGTGTTTGTTTGGGTTTATGTGGTGGAGAATGTCAATGTGTCATTGGTTTTACAGAAATGTAGCTTTTGTGTCATCTGCAGGTTAAAAACTGTATTCTCTTCTTGATTTGAGCCTTTTATTGTAACTCCGATCGCACCAATTAATCCCAATTTAACTCTTAATTGACGGCCAAATCCCCTCAGTAACTGTTGCTATTCAAGTTTTTGTTTATAGCACGACACGATGCTGGAGTCAACATTTCCACAAATCCAATGAAAAATGGATAACAGAGCTGCTGATGTTTAAACTCTGTTGCCATCCAGGATCTGCCTTCACACGGTGGCGAAAAGGCACACAAAGATGTCCTAGTACTAGTTTCTATATGTAACTCGTAACCCTACAAATAATGCAACTTAGTTAGTTAATGATCTGCTCTTTAGTCTTGGGAGTTACTTCTCACTACAGTAATAAGGCTAGTTAGCCATGCTAACAATTGCAGTTAAGTATATCTCTTACTACAGCCCTATGCATTCAGCTTCTACATGTGGACATCTACAGCACAGTGTAGCCTACAAAGCTCGACAGTCCCGCTGCACCTAGTTGCTGTCGTTAAGCTGTGATTGGACAGTTGCTGTCCAGTCAGGTAGAAATTGATCAATACTGCACTTGTTGTTAATAGAACTTTAATAGGAATTAAGTTCAACATTTCGATCATTTTCAAGTATGGCATCACGTAAAACATGACTTTGTGGAGGGTAAATGGGTCAATGTGCATCTGTCCTTCACATGTGATAAACGAGACACCACAGACCTGATTTTGATGAAAGTCCAGGGAGTGATGTGTCACACTGGTCTGGCATTTTCAAAATTACTGTGTTTGGCCCAAGGTGGGAGCAGCAATTACCTGGCAAACATTTTAATAACCAGTCATATCTCACATACTGCAGGGGGTGATAAAATGAGACTTGGAGCACATAATCAACTATCCGTGCTCTACAAATTTGTCTCCAGGGCCAACAGTTTGCCACATATTGGATTTTCTACTGTTTTTAGTTCTACAAAACCAGTTTTACCAGTAAAATGTATTTTTCTTCTTCTCCAAATTAATTTTCTGGTCACTGCCTCATGTGTACCTTCATTCAAATATCAGTCACTACAACCATAAACATAAAAAATGCAAATAAACCCATACAACACATTGTATATTGTTACATAACAGACTTGAAACGGATTTGTTCCAGACGTGACACAAGAGGCACACTTTCCAGCTCCTCACTGTATTAGGAAGAATATGATGAAACTTCTGTTCACTTTATATTCAGGAAATTGTTAGCCCCAAGGTGTGTGAGGTATCTGGCATCATTTCAACACAGCGGCACTATGTGTTGACAGCAATGCTTTAAATCCTCTGCAGAGGCCTAAAAATGCATACACTTAACGCTGCTCTGCGCAACATTTGTCTGTAAAAATACACCTGTCACCTAACCTTTTATCTCAATTGCTCTGTGGGAGTGAACCACAGAAGGCTGTCCTATTCTCACTGAGACTGTTTTTCTGGTTTAGGATAAGATAGCACAAGTTTCTAAAACAGCAGCATATGAGTGCTGTAACTTAGTGGTTCCTAACCTTTATGGATTGTGTTGTGTTAGGACATGAGACCAACACAGATTATGTTCTAATCTTAGTGCAGATATGATAATGATTTTTATGTCTCAGAATGTTACGTTTTAGGGACTTTAAGAGGCCTATTTTTATTTTTTTTTAAGAAAAAGCACATAAAAGTCGAAGAAGAAAATAAAAATAAAAAATATAACAGAAAGTCACAGTAAATGTAGAATTTTGTGGAACATAATTGTTGTTGTTTTTCCTTCTTTTTTATCCTTTCGAACATTTTGTCACCACTCTGATTTATTTTGGCTCCCTTTTGGGGGTCCCAGCCCCCAATTTGGGAACCAGTGCAAATCAGCAATACCAGAAGCTCTTCACGATCTTCACACTGAACAGACAACAGGATGAAAGTCATCCCTTGTAGGACTTTAGATGGATCAAGAGTGACAAAGACGTTTGCACTGTATGGAACATCATCATCGCTCCTCACCATCTTGAGGAACATGAGGCTTGTTTTGATGCATTTAAATCCTTTGTTAGTAAGTGTATGTTTGTAATGTGTATTATTTTTCAGAACATCCCAGCGCTGCCTTGCGGTAAAGCCCTCTACTCCTACGAAGGAAAAGAACCAGGCGATCTCCAGTTTTCAAAGGGCGACATCATCATCCTGCGACGCAAGGTGGATGACAACTGGTACCACGGAGAGCTCAGCGGCTGCCATGGTTTCTTGCCCGCTAGTTACATCCAGTTGCTGCGTCCCCTGAGCCAAACTCCACCCCAGGGCAAAGCGCTGTACGACTTTGAGGTCAAAGATAAAGACCAGGATAAAGACTGTCTGGCCTTCAGCAAGGTATCACACACACACACACACTCACATGAGGACACTGTTTTTATATCGGACACAGAACACATGTATTGTGTGTTATGTGGCTGGGCAGGCCTCATGGATGAATCGGTGTAAAGAGATTAGAGGGATGGCTGAATTTGCAACAGCATAAATACCGTAGTGGAAGAAAACACTTATCCGTGGTGTTACACCAGGGTGGTTCATTGTAGGACACTAATAATTTATTACGACTGGCTCTACTCTTCAGATTGGTTCTCAGAATTTAAACTTCAAGCAGGATTAAAAGTATACATGCTCTGCATGGTGCATGTTTATGCAAACATGCATAAAAAAGTACTATTTTTTTACTAACAATCATTTGTGTGGTTGTTTGACATACGGTGTCAATGTATTTGTTATTGACTAGTAGTTCCATATTGTTGCATGAACATGAACTTTGCCACACAGTCCTGTGGTCAGCTGAAAGACTTTTAAGTGCATACAATCTAAACAGGCCTTTTCTTTTTTGTGTACAGTGACTGAGGATTATACATATCCTGACATTAAATGAGTTGGTAATTGCTTTGTTGTGCCTTGTTTTAACACTTTTTAAGCAAATTATAGTTTATAGCATTCAAATTCTTCCATTTATTTACCAAGAGGTTGGAAGAAACAGAACCCTAAAACAGTAGTTCAACCACCATGTAACTCAAAAACTCCACATACTTAGAGTATTGTAACTGGAAGGTTATGTAGCTATTTGCTCTCCATCTAGGAATATTGTGAGTATTATTTATTGTGTAATACATTATGTCTGCTGACTGTTATTAAAGTGATGATTTCTCTGGTGGGACATCTGATATCAAAGTAAGAATGATGAATATATTTTCACTAGCCGTTGTGAGGGAGCAACCTCCATCTAGATGTCTCTATGGGTCCTCTTGGTTCTTAGTGAGCAACACCAACCCAGAACCCAAGTTGTTTTATATACTTGTATTCAATGTAATCCTGTGGTGTAGGGTCTCGCGGGGTTGTGGGTCCCAGGTCTGTGTGCCAACATGTCCAATACTGGAAGCGAGTGTGCAGGAGAAAACATACAGGAGATGTAAAGTGTGAACTGGAAAGTGCAAGAAAGATGGCATGTTTGTGCTCTTTCTGAGCAAGGCTGCTTGTTATCTAGTAGATCCTAATGCTCGTGCCAGTACTGGTGTCTTCGGGTCACCACTGGATTGGTTCTCCTTCTGCTTTTGAAAAATAATTCATATAAGTCGGACTTGGATCGGTATTCTATGGGTCTTTTCAGAGTGGGTCCAAATTCATCTTAAACATCATCCCCATTTGTAAAAGTATCTCCTAAATTATACTTTGAAAGGGATGGACAAGATGAGAGAAGACACTCATTTCTTCAGAAGTGTGCATCCAGGTCAGGTGTGGTGTAAACAGTCATTTCTATTCTGCTCCTCAAAGCGTATCATTTTGTTCCTGCTGTTACACAGACTCATTTGTGCTCGGCACATCCACTCTGTCTCTGCACTGTAATTGTGTGTCTGCGGCGAGGGAAAGATTATTAAATTACGGTGTACTGTACACTTCACTGTAGGTGTTTTGGACTCATCACAGCAATGGCAAGCATAGTCATACAGGCGATACCCTGTCTCAAACACACCGAGCTCTACAGCCGGATTAGCAGATAACGACGAGACATTCAAAGTTCACATTATTTTGCGTTTCAGGGCTAAACTAATCAACAGATTTATGTTTGAAGATTACACAAAGACATACACTCGTGCCCCTGCGGTGCGCTGTATGCGTGTTGTCATGCAGAAACCAGTATTTGTGATATTTTGTATTGTGTGAGAAATAATTACTCAGTATGACTAATACACAACAATGATTTCCCAGCATTATCTCTGCTGTCCCTAATGGTCTAACCAAGACCTTCGTATTCATGTGAGGAGCAACAGAGGGAAAAACACTTTCATGATGAAGTCTGTGTGTGTGTGTGTGTGTGTGTGTGTGTGTGTGTGTGTGTGTGTGTGTGTGTGTGTGTGTGGTGAACGAGGAACATATGTTTCCATGTGTGTCGGATATAATATTGCTGAGAATATTAAATGGTGAAAATGAAGGCAACTGAAATGAAGTGAAACCAGTAGTTTCCTATCAATCTAGAAACGTATGCACGCACAATTTGTAGTTAATGAGCTACAACATCCAAGAACACCATTTTTATTTATTTAAAAAAATGTTTACCTTTGGCATCATTCCTTGGTTGAGCAATCCAACATAAGCACATACAAATGAGGAAAATTGTAGCTGCACATTGTAAGGGCTCAGTTGACCACATCAGGAGAGATTTATAGCTCCGGGTACCAGGTAGCAGAAAAAAACTGTCAGGTGCCAAACATCCCCTCGCAAAGAGTTTGTGATGCTTTGTGTTAGCCAGTTTCCGATCAAAAGCTTGTGTTTTAGTAACTGGGGAAAACAGAAGACACATTTATTTGTTAGTTCATCCTCTCATTTTATTTTGTTGTTTTTAACACCACCAATTACTAAATTAACTAAAAAGCTATTATTTGGACTTACAATGTGTGAAGGCTCACTCATTTCCCCTCTCTCCAGGATGAGGTACTGACAGTAATCAGGCGAGTGGACGAGAACTGGGCAGAAGGCATGCTGGGAGACAAGATTGGCATCTTCCCCATTCTCTATGTGGAGGTAAACCCACAGACATTACACAGATTCACACAAAGCATTCACATATCAGGCTATTACAGAAATGCTGCAGCTGAAAAAGTGATGTTGCAGAAGAACGCCAGTATTACAGTGTTGTCGTTTATCATACTGCCACTCTTGAGAGTGGAGGCCAAAAACATTTTCTCTCTCACGGTGAAATCATATCCTGTCTACGTTGACAAGAAATGAAGTAAATGCTTGTTTCTATGGATAGAAACATTCAGAGTAGTTTGATGTTATCCATTGAAAATATGACAAAAATGCTGTTTGGCTTCCTCATTTTTCACGAGTGTAAACTGCCTTATTCAGATTTTTTTTTAGAGAAGATCGGATGAATCAAAATAGTGTAAAAAAAAGTAATATTCTAATCAAATAATCAATTAATGCTCCCTGGTTTCAAATATACTTGAACTTAAGGTTATTCTGAGCCCGTTTTGTATGTTATGTTTTTACCAAAAGTCCTGCTCAATGATATAATCCATAACTTTTAACTTGATACATTTTGATGCCACCTGTGCTGAGAAGAGCGACTTATTGAGCCTCGAGGTCAGGATGTAACAGAGAAGATGGTTAAAGCCATCAAAACAAGTCCTTCAGTGTCAGCAGAAGTATGTAAGACCGACTGAGTACCGTGTGCTATCTGACCTGGGTTTAGCAGAGGTCGGACACTGTCTTTGATATGAAAGGGTGAACACATGTTCAATGTAAGACATGGCAATTGGACTCAAATAGCATGGTGTGTTCATTATCCTCCGTAAAACTGTATCAGCAGTGAGCTACATGATGTTTTCCGTGTCAGGATGTGATATTATGTTTGACCACTTATCTGAAGGAATGCACAACCAAAATATTCAAATTGCCCCAGAAATATAAATTGCATTATAAATGCTGTTTGAAACTCGGCAGAGGGGGAGTTTTCTTTTAGGGATTTCCTTACAGTAAAAAGATAGAAACCCTCAACACCGCAAACATTTTACCGCCTTTCATAGTGCCATGCCTGTCAAGGTTGAAATACAGTTTACTTTAATCCTTGTGCAACTGAAAAACAATTTGCTCTGCATCACATTGAAGGCTTTTAAGCTGTGGTAAAAAGCCATTGGGGGAATCTGGAAAGATGTGTGTTTCCCTCTTTCTTGTCTTTCATGATTTTCTTCTCTTTTCATCACCACACATTTGTAAATACGCTGACTCTCTAATGGCCCTGTCAAAAACAAATGATGAAACCTTCGACAGGAGGCTCACTCAAAATGGGAAGTACATCTACGTATGCGTGTTTGTCGAGACAATAAGACTCTCACAAGAGCCAGATCCAGTGTACAAGTGTAGTACATTCTGTATTCATGTACTGTAGCTTAGAGAAAATCATTAACGTAGAGATTAGAGAGTGAGACTAATGGCATGACTCCTCCTTCATGCTGCATACATTTTATTGCTTTTGATATCCGCATCTGTACAAATATATACATCAATCACTGTTCTGCTCATCTACAGAGCTTTTCTTTTGTGCTTTGCCATCCTATAATCATACTGCCTTCTCGAAAACACACTCTTTCTCTCTCTGGGTTTGCTGCCTGCGCGGGCTTGGACTCTTGGCTAACCAATCATATCCCTGAAATTAGCTGTTTGACCAAACAGCTCTCTTAGGTGATGATGATTAAGCCGTAGGCTGAGAGAGGCCCAGGACAAACACACACAGACACACAGGGGTTGCTATTAGATAGAGATGCATCAATAATTTAGAGCTCTCCATCACTCTGACACAGCGGGGGTACGGGGGCATGTCGAGTGTGTGCGTGTGTGGGTGGGTGGGTATGTGTGGTGAGTGTATGCAGTGGGAGCTTAATGAGGAGGGCCCAGCTGGACTTCTGCTGATCTGTGCTTGTCTCGCTGGATATAAAGTACCTCTTCTATCTGTTGTCTATTGAATGCAGCCTGCTTGCGTTACTATCTGGATACATAGATCCGTGATGAGGGGCTTGCAGATGACAGGGATGCCGCCAAAATAGTCCAAATTGTTTATTTGGCAGTCGCAACATTTAAAGCGGGTGCTACTGTTTGTTACGAAGACTGTACTGGGTTAAACAATGCAAAGGATTATGGGTGCATGTTGCTAAAGAGATGGGAACAAACCAAGAATAATGCATCTGCTAGTCTTTTTAGAGGCTAAAACACTGCACAGCTGTTTATAATACTATGAGAAGAAGACCTCAGAAAAGGATACAGGGACATGACTTTACCCTCTGTCCAATTATCAGGTAACATTAAACAGTTTTCTTACACATATTTGATTGCCCAGCACCTTGTATTGCTGGTTGAGTTGTGGCAAAAAATGTTGCCCGACAACCCTGCGTTTTTTTAATTTTTTGTTGGAGCCCTCTGCATCGGGACCCCTGCTGTGCCAACGCAGTGGTCTCATTGAAGTAAAGGTGGATCTTTTGACCATTCCATCCACCCTGACCTCCTCCCTACGCGTACTCAGCGAATGGTCGACAGGAGCGGTTGCTCTTTGCCTCTAATATTGCTGTAGATGGGTTTACATTGGGGTTAGTTGAAAGCATGGTGCGTCTCACGCAGGCGCTAAAGGGTGACGTGTGCGTCGGTATCGGACACCAAAGGGCGTGACAAAGTATCGATATTTGACAACCTGGGATCAAATAACCAAATAATTAAACTGCCATTGTGGAATTACATTAGTTTACTGCCAAATAAGGTATTGTTTGTGAGTTAAGTTAGATTTGGGCACTTGTTGGTGGATTTAATGGGTGTGGGTGTGCTTGGAGTTGGGTTTCTTTGGGCTCTGGTGGGTTTGTATCTGTATCTTGATGAGACAAAGTTGTGCTGGGATTGTTATAGATATACTATACCAGACCTGACTTTGGCTGGGTGTGCTGAGTGGGTTGGAGTGTGCTGTATAAGTATGGGAGTGCAGTTGTGCATTCAGGTGGATGTGATGTCAGCTTTGATGAGTTTGAATTGAGCAGTAATGTGTTTGAGCAGATCCAAGGTTGATTCATGCAACAGGTGGACAGGCTGAGCATGAATCTGTCTCCTTCTTTTTCTTTCTTTCTGCCCGTTTCATTTTATGCATCTTACTGTCTCTGCAGCAGGAGGGAGTTGGCACACACCTGCCACTGTGTGTGTAGGTGTGTTTGTGTGTGTGTGTGTGTGTGGGTGTGTGTGTGTGTGTTTGTGTGTGTATGTGTGTGTGTGTGTGTGTGTGTGTGTGTGATTGTGTGCATGAGCATGCATGTATCTTGCTGGCTTACCCTTTTCGCAGTGCAGGTATCAGCTCATCAGCTCGAGTCTTAGTATTACGTGGAGAGAGCACCCACCCTCCAAAAGACACAAAGCACAGAGAGAACAGACAGCTCAACACATAATAGATGACCTTGGAGATTTCGTCCAGCCAACAGCACCGAGAGAAGAATTGTCTCTTTCAAAAACATCTCTCTCTCTCTCTCTCTCTCTCTCTCTCTCTCTCTCTCTCTCTCTCTCCCTCTCTCTCTCTCTCTCTCTCTCTCTCTCTCTCTCTCTCTCTCTCTCTCTCTCTCTCTCTCTCTCTCTCTCTCTCTCTCTCTCTCACACACACACACA